AAAGTAAAAGAGAATCTTGCATGTTGTTTCTTTCAGAGGGCTTTGTAAACGAGAAGAACCCTGCACTGAAATACACTTTACAGGAGCGAATTGGCCAAGGGTAAGTCCAATCTCAGCTACTTCTACAAAACCATGGGCCAGGGATTTTACTGGTGTCATATCATGCAGTCAGGCAAGCTGCAAACATGGGCAGACACTGGGCTTACATCCTTCTGTTTGTCAGTCCTGACCAATATGAGTAACTGTGGTCAGAAGGCATTGTCAAAGACAGCTTGATGCTGGCAGTGTCTTGCCTGTATCAAGGAGCAGGACGTGGAGTATGTCCTAAGTTTTCTCCTGGCCACGCTGCATGGCAGAGACCTGGTGGGCTGGTGGCTGAAACTGAGTGTTTTATAAACTGCAGTGAGCAGAGATCTGCTCTCTGGGCTGGCTTTCACTCCCAGGGCCTAAACCTCTTCTCCTTTCTCCACTGCTCTGTTTCTAGGGGTTTTGGAGCGGTTTTTCAAGGAGTTGACAATGCCACAGGAGGACAGGTAAGGACCAGCACCCATGGCAGATTCTGCAGCTCTCTGTGCTTTCCCTCTTGTTTACTAACTCTGCTGATGCATCAGCTCCTTGGTGGCTCCTTACCCAGCTGCAGTACTGCCCTTGGGAAGTGCACTTAGATAGGAGTCTGCAAGGGATCTAAAGGCCCTGAGTGCTGCTTATAACCCCAGGCTCATCCATAAAATACCCAGGAACAGGTTATTCCTTTTCAAACCCAGAAAATAATTGCCAATATGACCTGGGTTAATAAACCTTCTTTAGAGTAGCAGAATCCAACTTCAAGATGTTGGAAAGTTCAAGGATTGTATTTCCTTGTGTAACTTTTATGAGCTTTTAGGATGGGATTTCCCCCATTATGGATTGATTGTTGGCAGACCATTTTTCCAGAGTTTACAAGGCAAACTGTCCATAGCCATGTGTGCTGTGACTGGCAGCCAAGAGCGAGTGGAGGAATCGTCTCTTGTGCTGTCACTTAAGAAGCTCTGGTGTCTAATCACAGGCAGTTTGGCCCACCTGGGCTCCAGCATTCCACAAACCCCTGCTCCATGTGCATTGTGGTCCCAGGCAACAGACTTCTCAAGCCTGTGGCTTTCAATCTCCTTTTAGGTGGCCATAAAGAAGATTTATCTTCGAAACAGAAAAAACAAAAGAGAACTAATTAGAACTGAGGTTGCAGTCTTGAAGACCCTGAGACACCCCAATATTATTGACTATATAGACAGGTGAGTGGTTCTGGGATTATCACATCGAGCTTCATTGACACACTGCAAGCCAAAGGCTTAAAAGCCTCTTTGGTCACTGGAAGAACATGGAGCTCTTTATTATTTCTCTCCATCTCCATCTGCAGTGGATGGGAGGAGCTTGCCTTGTGTCTGCCTTGGTCTCTTCTGGTATAGGTAGTTTGAAGCCTGTCTTCCAAACCTGGATCTGCCAGGTCTTCCTAAAGCAACAGCCCCTCAGTTCACTACCTCCCATAAAGTCATTTAGCTGGTCTTATTCATCTCCATGCTGTGGTTTTCCTCTCTCAGCTACCTTTTAAATGAAGAGCTCTGGCTGGTGATGGAGTATGTGGAGGGATGTACTTTAGGGGCTGTAGTTTCCAAACAAGCTCTGGAGGAAGGGATGATAGCCTCTATCTGTCAGGAGGTAAGAGATACTGCTCGTGCTTCTGATGGCTTGGACAGGATGCTTCTTTGTAAATGGTGGTAAGAACGGGAGTGACTTCATGTTCAAGCCTTTGTTTCTGGGTTGCTGTTATGATCTGGAGAAGAAAAGAGCATCCAATGAACGGTATACCAGTCTCATTGTGTTTCTTGCACTCTGGTATTATACTTCTACACTAGTGTTGTACTTTTTTAATTTAATTTCATGTTATTTTGTTTATTATTGTAAACTTTGCCTCTTGAAGCATGTCTGCAATTGAGGTTGCACCTAGAAATGAGATCTCTTAGAGCCATTTCCTTTTTTGTGGGATATAAACAGCCTAATTAATTTTCCCCTCATGTTTCTTTGTTTAATCTCAGTGCCTGAAAGCCTTGGACTTCCTTCATTCAAATCAAGTGATTCACAGAGACATCAAAAGTGAAAACATTCTTCTGGGAATGGACGGATCTGTCAAACTGAGTAGGTGTTCTTGGTCAGGCCCAGCGTTCCCGGGAGGCAGGGTCTGGGGCTGCCTTTGAGTGCCTGCCAGTTCCCCAAAAGTGGTGCTGGTGGCAGTGCAGGGCCCACTGGGGTGAGCTGAGAGCAGAGTTGCAATGTGCAGAGAGGTCTAGAGAGGATGAGGCTGTCAAGAGTGGCTTTGGTTTGTGTGTGTCCCTTGTGGAGGAAACAGAGCACAGCCACTGTTCCAGCCAGATTCAACACTGTGTCCTCAGATTTAGGGTGAGGAACTCTCATTCTTGGTTTCATAATTCATGCCGGTTTTAAACAGTATTTGGTTTTTTCTTCAGTCGATTTTGGCTCCTCTGCTTGGCTTTGGCCCTGGCAGAAGAAACGGACATCAATCCTTGGGACTCCCTTCTATATGGCACCAGAAATGTTGAGAGGAGGCAAATATGATGCCAAAGTGGACATCTGGGCACTTGGGATCACGGCACTAGAAATGGTGGATGGTCCTAAAAAGGTAAGGGGCAAATACTGTCCAAGGACCCTGTCTTTCTACCCTGAGCTGTATCTTTCTGCCATGAGACAGAATCCCACTGACATCAGCTTGAACGAGTCCCACCCAGGCCCACTTCTGAAAGTGTCCTGGAGCACATCTGCTCACAGCAGAAGTGCCATGTGCCAGTGCAGAAAGGGGCCATTTTGGCCTGCAGCACTGCTTGAATTCCTCCTGCCCTCTTTGAGCTCCCTTGCAGTTCTGTATCTCTGAATGGCAGGAATTTTGCAGCGGCAGCATTCTCCCATTGGAGAATTATTCTGGAAAGCATTTCCAGGGTATGTGCAGGCCAGAAGTCTTTTCAAGCTTGGACCAGTGCCCATTGCTTCCCTGAGCCTTTCAGGGGAGGTCACTGCTTCTGGTACTGTCACAATTAGTTATTGCCCAGTACATTTCCAGAAGTCTGTTCTAGCACAGCTCCTTGTAGTAGCCAATGTATTTGGAAGGTTTCAGTTTTAGAAAGCAAGGACTGGCCTGTTCTTGAGCTGTTCCCCTCGGTGGGGGATGGTTAATGGCTGTCTTGTGTTTGCTCTGTCCCAAGGGTCAGAAGAATCCACCGCAGCTGCAGACTCCCAGAGATCTGTCTCCGGTGTTCCATTCCTTTCTCAAGTCTTGCCTGATTCAGAAAGCGAAGCGTCGATGGACAGCCAGGCAGCTGCTGAAGGTAAAGTGGCTGCAGGTGAAGCAGCTGTCCAGGGATGGGCTTTCCCATCAGCTAAACTCAGAGGCATCAGGTGGCCTCCTCTCCTGCTGAAGTTGAACAATGGCATTATGGGCCATGTTTGCCTATGACAGCAAGGTCCTGGACATGCAGTTGGAGGTGTAGATGGGGCCCTCCGTCCTACTGATGTGTATAGTTGGTAACCAGAGGAATCCCACTGGAGTCTGTGAGAAACTGCTTTTGGAAACTAATGTCTCCTTTCTTTTTTTTTTTTCCTTTGACTGCAGCATCAGTTTTTGAAAAAATCCCAGAGTCTTGACAAGCTGGCTCCTCTGATTGATGCAGCCAGGAGACGCACAACACCAGCACCAGAACCTCTGCTGGCTCCCTGTGTTTCTGGACAAGAGGATAAAGGAGAGCAAGCAGAGGAGGAAGTTGTCCAAGCAAAGCCTGAAGGAAAGAAATCAGTAAGTGCCAGATTAGATTAGCAGTGCCTTGAGTGTCATTCAGAGCTGCAAGTTCCTGAGCAGACAGCGCTTGCTCTTTGGGACTGAAGATCGTGAGGGCTGGAGCCCTGCCATGACACGGTGCTTCAGCCCAGCCACTGACACCTGCAAAAGGGGCTTGGAACAGTTTAGTCAGGGTGTCCCGTGAAGGAAAATTAGGAATAACTTCCCTGGGGGTTCCTGCCCCTCTACACGGCCTAGTTCAGAAAAGGCATGAAAATTGAACATCCATTCCATTTGTGAAGTGGGCAGCAAAGGACAGTTCAAGAGCCTGACATGTGGCCAACAGCATCTTCCCCAGGGTTTGCATTTGAAGGATGATCTCAGGGAATCTCTGCAGGCCACCTTTCTGACATAAACTAATTCTTGTCACAGATCCTCCAGAGCTCTTCAATGGCAGGTGCTGCTGCAGCAGCACAACCTGAAGAAGTCTCCTTTCCTGACTCTGAATTGCCAAGCACAAGCACCGGGAAAGGCAGGAGGGAGTAAAGAAGCACTGGGACAAGGATCAATGTTACTACTTTGATCCTTGCAGTTGCCTCACTTCTCAATAAACTTTTGTTGTTATTCATAGCTGGGAAGTCCCATTGTTGGGGTTTTGGTGTGATTTGGAACTGGGGAAGGTTTCTTTCATTTATCAGCTGCTGACCACATTGCCTTTGCAGTACATCCCACTGGCCTGGTTTTGCCCAGTCGTGGCTCTTTTAAATGAGGAGGAAAGTGCAATTGCAATTCAAGCCAAAAGCAGATGGGGAGTGGGGCAGAGAAAACATCCTGTTGTGGACAGGTATTCAGCTGGGAGTGTAGAGTGTTTGGGTTCTTGACAACTGGGTTTGTATCACTACCTGCAATCTCTGTGCCTGCAGCAGAGTCTTCCTCAGCTGAAAAAGCAGAAGGTCAGCACGTGTGCTCCGAAAGGGCACGTCTGAGGCAAGGCTTTCAGAGCAGCAGTGGGAGGTGCTGAGCCCCCACCGAGCCCTGGCAGAGCACAGAGCAGCCTCAGCATGCACTGAGCCAGGCGGGAAGAAGCCCAGCCCAGGGTGCTTTCATCTTTCTGGGACCAGAGTAATCTTCCTGACACAGGGAAAAACTGGGTGTGGGCTGCTGCAGAGGGGAACCGTGGGCAGGCGTGGAAATGCGTGCTCTGATGGGATTTGCCACCTTGGATCCGCACAGGAGTGGAGAAGGGCAAAACAGAGCAGAGTGGTGGAGTGGTTTCTGGGGATGCCTGCTGAGCTCTTGTTTGTCTTGTAGCTCCTGGGAAAGGTTGGGAGTGTCTGTGCCAGTCTGGACAGAGCGGGAGGGACCTGGGCTGCTCCACAGGCTCGTGCTCAGCTGAGGGTCCTTTAGGCATCCCAGTTCTGTCCTGGGAACTGAGGCTGACACAGGGGGTCACAACCTTCCCTGGGAGAGGCCCACAGGCAGACTGGATATGGAGAATTCCCTGTCCTCCCTCCACTTGGCAGAACTTAGGGACATAAAAGAGTTACAAATATAGAGAGACTAGGAAAGAGATGTATAGAATACATAGAGATTACTAAATCTCTATGATTTTTAGAGCATTATATGGGGGAGTGTGCAAAGTTATAAAATGTAAAGACACACAATGTACTGCATAATTATTATTATTAGATAGAGATAGTGTGTTACAACACTATGGACATAGCTGTAGTCTGTACTGTATAGGGCATTTGCACAACACCCCACAACTCTTCTGCACTCTAGGCCTTATATAATGCTCCCTTATATAGAGATAATGTATATATGAGTTCGGAGAGAGAGAGAGACTGTTTATGTAGTGTGTCTATATATAGTGTATGTTTATATATAGTGTTTATGTAAATATTGTGTGTATATATAGCATATATATATATATAAAATATATATTTTATCGACATTCCGAGGCCCTTCTGTAGGTGCTACACACTGTAGAGAGAGGTATGATATTGTTTCTAGGACAGGGTATGGTATTTGCTGTAAATGATAGACTGTATTTACTGGTGTGTGTGTTGTGTCAGTACCTGGCCATGGTTTGACCAGGATGGATGGAAGGATGGGTGGGTGCATGGATACAGATCGCCCCCTCATGGCTGCCAGTGGGGCAGGAAGAGGCAGAAATCCCTGAATATGTGTATTTGTTTGGAAACCTTTTGCTTCAGTCACTTCACATTGAAGCTATGAAAGGTCGAAATGAAACATTCTCCATCCATTTCCCACATTTTCCTTTCTAGGGGATTCTCTGCTGAAGGTGGCCTGAGTGTGTACATAAATGCAGCACCCTCCAAAAAAACCCTGTTTTTCCCACAAGTTTACATTTATTGTAAAAATTACTGCATATCTATGTTAGGAGCTGGAGCCCACAGTGAGGGGGCATCGTACCTGCCCAGCCTGGGCCATTGTGCAGGGAACACTCAGCCTTGCTTCACCTGGGATTCACCTGGGAAGCCAGAAGCCGTGTAAATCAGCACAGCCAGTTGTGTTCCCAGCTTGGATGAGCTCTTTCTGATGGGTAAACCCTGTCCCAACTACTTCCAAGAAATAATAAATGTCGAGGTACATATGTTCTGCTTGGCCTCAGCCTCCCACAGCTCCCAGCACCGGCCAGCAGTGGTGTTCAAAGGTTGCCTGTCCCTATGCCATGGGAACAAACTGGAAATGTCTGGAGCTGACATAATTCCAAGGCCTGAACCCCACCACTTTTTTACTCATCACCCGAAATTCCCTCTTTGTCCGGCGGTACACCAACAGGAATTGCCAATCATGCTCCCTCTGCCCTGCTGACACTGGGGACGATCCTTACACAGAGACTGACATTTCAGAGAATAAGCAACCCTGAAGACTTGAGTTTACAGAGAATTTCACTTGCCTATGGGGCATGTAGTTCACACAGCTGACAAACACTCTGTGTGCCAAGTGGCCTGAGCTCAAGCTATTTGAAAAGAGCAGGATTGAGGTGCTTGGTACATGCAGCTGAGCTGATGGCACTGTAGCATCATTCCATCTCCAACGTGTCAGAGAATTTTCCTACCACAGCAGGGATCCTTTTAGAGCCCTGAGGAGACTTCAAAAATTTTTGTGAAAACAGTAACACTGTCAGGAGCCATTTTATAAATTTTAAAAATTGCACAATGTGGCCGGAGTGTTTATGAGATACACAGAAATCCAAATTTCCTGGCTGTACCAAAGGCAGAACAGTCGTCCTTCAGCTTCCCTTTACAGACCAGAATAAAATCCATTTCCAAGTGTCTGACACAGCAAGCCTCTTGTATTGCCAGGGTCACTGCCCAGCATGCCCACACACAAACAGCTCTGAGGGAACCCTGCCATGGGCCTGCAGGCAGAATGTAAGAGAAAGTTTGTACCAGAATGCTGCTTTGAAGGAAATGTGAAGCAATACCTGTCCTCCATGACAGCCAAATGAAACTTTATCGATGATGTTGGATTTGTCAGCAATAAATAAAAGCAAAATTTTGAGAGTGAAATGTGACACCTCTCAGGGCACAATACCTTGGTTTTACAAACCCATCCTTGTCATGAGCTAATTTGCTTCTCTTTCAGTCTGGTGCTACCCTCTAACAAGACAAAAGGAGTGTTATTCCATGTTTAACACCATGTGGATTAAACCAATCTTCCTTAGCTAGGAGGCTCCCATTACTGAATTTGTGCTCTGAGCAAAACCAGAACTGTGAGGTGCCTTCCCTGCTCTTGGACAGAGATACCAACTTGTCAGTCACCAGCCTGAGGTGGAGAAGAGAACAATCAGAAAGTCACTATGAGAGCCTTTACCTGGATGTAGCTCTTATTTGCTGTGGTGTCAAAAGACCTGCCCCTGTATTTTAATTGCCCTGGCTCACAGGGTCTAAAGCCATGAGCAATGACTGAACACCTTGAGTAATGACATTTCCATCAAGAAATAGAAACATCTGATCTGTAGCAATAAATGGTGAAATGCATCAAGAAATTTTTATCCCTCTATGGGGGGAAAAAAATCTCCCTCCCAGATCTAGGTTGGCAGTAAACAAGGACTGAGTGATGCAAATCCATCTTGTGCTTGCCACTCCCCCAGCCTGCTGGTAGATGCCCATGGAGCTGGAGCCATTCCTGCCTGCATCCAGTCTTACTGTTGGGAATAGATGAGGATGTGCTGAGAACCTGTGAGGACAGTCACATGGGCTTCCAGCTTATGTGCTGAATGCTCCTGAGAGATGCTGCTTGGAAGATGTTCACATCTCAATGAGCTTATCTGCTAACATTTTGTCTGGCCCCTCTTCTACTGGATGTGCTGTATCATGAACATGTATATGTATAAACACGTACTTCCCCCTCTTTCAAAGCCTCTCTCCCCATTACCAGTGATAACACTGTGAGTTTTGAGGGCTTTATCCTTTTAAAGCGATTATGATGATGTGCACCCCGTGCTCCCGAGTCCCTGCCCCGGCAGGCACAGACGAGTCCCGCTGCTGCGGGGTGACAGCTCTGTCTGGCTCTGCGGGGCGCTGGCGCTCAGAGCTCCGCGAGGTCATCGCTGGAGAAAACCTTGACGGTGATGTGACCCGGCACCTCGGCTGCTTCCCGGCCGCCTCTCCCTCGGAGCCGCAGCGTCTGCTGCTCTCGGGGGTCACTGGGGGAAGCTGCCAGCACTGCCTGCCCCAGGAGCTGGTCACACAGGATGTTGCTGTTCCAGACCTAGAGACAAGGCAACAGAAAAAACCCCAGCTGAAGCGGTGCTGCCCTCACACTCCACCTGTGCCAGAGGAAGGTCATCCCCACTAACCCCCTGAAAAAGCAGCGAGGAGTGGGCGTACATCTAAATTTAACTAATTGTCTAGAAAGCATGGGGGAGAGTCTGGATTTGCATGCTTATTTACATACTCTATGCAAATAAGGAGTGAATGCAGCTTTTTGCTTTCTAGGTCACAGCTTGCCTTTGGTTTTGTTTCAAACACTGACTCTGGACAACACATGGCTTTTCTTTGTCTCTGTTTCATTGGGTACCATATAAGGCAAAAGGTAATTCTCTAAATTCTTTCAAAGCCTTGGAACAAAATATGCCTTCAGATTCCTAAGTGTCATGAGTTGGTGTTTATGGAGCAGACTTAGAGTAGAGAATCAGCACAGCCCACTGAGGGGAGCAGAGATTCTCACACTTCTCTCCTGGTTATCAGTCATACAAAGGTGATGCTGCTGTGCTCCCCTTCCTGCCCTCAGCAGCCTGTCCTGTGTGGCTTGTCTCACCTGGATCGTGACAGGACTGTCAATGTTCTTCTTGTAAAAAATCACTTGTGTGTTGAAGACGGGACTGGTCGTGTCGTGCTGCACAGGGGAGCGCACTTTTTGGTTCTCACATTTGACAAGCACGTAGGGATCGGCTCCTGAAACACAAACAGCAGCACAGCTCTTAGGACACAGAATAGCAGCTGAGACCTGCCCCAGATCAGAAACCCAGCAGGGACAGTCCCTCCTGGGCCTGGCAGCACTGCTGCTAGTGAGCACAGGAACAGGGAACCAGAGCACACCACAGCCACTGCTGCCTACCCAGGTGAAAACACAGAATCATGGAATGGTTTGGGTTGGAAGGGACCTTGAAGACCATCCAGTTTCAGTTTCATGCCCTTGCCATGGGCAGGGACACCTTCCACTATTCCAGGTTGCTCCTAGCCCTGTCCAACCTGGCCCTGGACACTTTCAGGGATGGGGCAGCCGCAGCTTCTCTGGGCAACCTGTGCCACAGCTTCCCCACCCTCACAGGGAAGAATTTCTCCCAATATCCCATCTAACCCTGCCCTCTGGCAGTGGAAAGCCATTCCCCCTTGTCCTGTCACTCCAAACCCTTGTCCAAAGTCCTTCTCCAACTCTCTTAGAGCCCTTTTAAGTACTGGAAGGGGCTCTAAGGTCTCCCTAGAGCCTTCTCTTCTCCAGAATAAACTCCAGCTCTTTCATTCTGGTAACAGCTGGGTGCTCAGAGCTGGAAACCAGGCCCCATTTGCTGTGAAACCAGCTCACTCCTAGACAAGGATCATGAACTTTCCACATTCCCTTGCTGTGCATCCTCCTGGCTCATCCAACAGGAAGTTTTCAAAGTGACTCTCTGAGCTTCCCGACAATTCTCTAGATGTGACAGCCAAAATGCATCTGTGCACATGACATCTGATATGATGTTCTGGGTGTCTTGGCCAAAATGAAAGGTAAAATCTGTTCACCTCCCACAATTCCTGTGTAGGGCAGGGACAGGAACTGCACAGAAATGCTTTTAGATCCCTGAATGCACAGGTCAGTGGCCACCCTTGGACTGCCAAGCTAGAAAGTGCTGTCTCTTGTACTCAGATATGAGTGCTAGTGTTAGGAAGTAATTTTCAAGGAGCAGTTTCTCTTCAAGAAAGCAAAATATTGTCAAAAAACCCACACATTTTCTACAACTGCACTGGTTTCAACAAAGTTTTCTGTGGCAAACTGTCAAAGCAAATCCTCCCCCAGTTTGTCATTTCATTCCCATAAACCTGAGACAATCTCTGAGGTTCTATCATTTGGACTGATGTAACTCTAAAGTTTATATTATCACAACATGTTGTGTCTATAATAGGTCCTAGTTAATATTTTAAACTACACTTGAATCACACCTGACCCACTGAGATTATTTAACATTCTAGAAATACTTTGTTGCTTTTACACTGAGAATTTTTATTTATTATTAATGATGATATTTTCTTTCCCTTCCAACAAAGAGTAAGAACCAATTTGGAAATGCCTGTCTTTACCCTCAAATAGAATGGGCCATCCCACTTATTAATTAACTTCTAATTAAACACAGGCAATACAATTTTTTGTATTTCAACACAACTATCTCCTGTCTATTCCTGTTGTTAATGGCAGCATACCTGTTTTTGCAGACCTTGCTACTTCTTAAATACAGATTTTAAATAAACCTACTGAGTGTGCGTAAATGTAAGTCAGGCTCATAATAGTTCCTTACACACATTTTGTCACCATCTACTTGCAAATGCCACCACTGGAGTGACAGCCCTAAGGCAGCATGATTATTAGGCAGCTTTAGTTTTTAACAATCCATACCCAGGATGATTTTCCTCAAACGCATCACTCATTTACAAGAACAGATACCAACACTTCCCACAAACAAACCGCATAACAGCCTCATCCAAACCAGAGGGAGTCACTTCCATGCACAAGACACAAATTTTTCCATATGCTGCACTGTGGCCACACCTGGCCAGACCTGCCCCAGGCCTGTTACCCTGACAACACCTCACAGTTCTGTAGCAGGTGACAGAGTATTGGTTTTTCTGATAGGCAAGTACTTTCTGTGTCACTGAACTCGTGAACGTAGCTCTGGGGCATGGAGTGGCACCAAGCCCTGTGATCAGGGATGGAAAAGCTGCCCTCTTTGCAAAGCAATTTGGAAAATGGGTCTGAATAAAATGGGGTCTTGTATGTCACCCCAATGGTGTCAACTACTTTGTGTGAGGGCAAAAAGCAGAACAATATCTGATCATTAAGAGTAATTAAGTGATAAAGGGCATAAGGAGGGGTGGGGACAGGACACAGAGCATAAAGAGGTGACAGGTGCATCTGCCCAATGGATGAGAGAACAGGTAATGAAGGGACTTGCTAAGTGAGTGGAAAAGAAAATATAATATTTGAAGAAACATTCAAATTCTCAGCAAGAGCTCGAGATATGGATGGGGGGTAGAAGAGGAACACAAAAGGTTCCTGCACAGCATGACCCCATGATGGCAGGGCTGAATGGTCAGTTATATTAGGACTACTGGCTCCAGTTCCAGAACAAAAGGAAGAAATGGGAGAGAGGCATATGGGGGATGAGACAAGGGATGTTCTCCACTATGGTTGGCCCAGCTGTGGGTCTGGTTTATTTATGGGACAGAGACAAACCAGAAGGGGCTGCTCACATAGAAAAGCAACATCCTAGTGTTGGCCATGAGCTGGGAATGAAAACAACTGGAGCTGCTACTCTGGTAACTGCTCTGGCAGTGGAAGGAGGGCTGGGTTCAGTTCTCAGGCACACAAATGGTTCCAGCTGTGCCCTGAACACTGCACTGTGTGTAACAGCTCTCTCACCTCAGTCCCGGCCTTGCTGCTGCTTTGGGAAGTTGTACAAAAGAAAAGTGCAAAGGAAAGAGTTGGAATCTGTAAAAGCCAGAAACACCTGAACAGTAATCTAAGGGTTCAGAGGGTCCAGATGTGGATCCAGAGAAGACAGAGAGGAGACCAAGGATGACCAGGAGTTCCATTCTTTTGTGGCAATACTAGGAAGCAGTCTTGGAATGTGGGATATTTTCTGTCCCTGAACACATTAATTTCTAGTGTAAGTTTACAATCAATGTGTTTCAAGAAATTTCTATATCTAATCTTTTAATCTATTAAACAAACAAAGTGAGAAACATGCATACCAAGCATACCTAGCTTTTTCTGCCACCAAAAGTGGACTCTAGTATCAATCAGGAGCTTTGCCAAGTTTCCCACCCCTTAGAAGGCAGAGTGCCAGGTGTGGACAGTACCTTGATCTTTGCACAGCTTGATTTTATTGTGTAGCACAAATGTCAGCAGTGTGCATTTGACTGCATGGGTGTTCTACTGACACATTCTCCTTACTTCATTTCTCTAAAGTTGCTATAAGATATGGTATTCTCCAAGACAATCTATGAAGATATTTTGTGAGTACTTTGTGAGTTGGAAATACATACAGAGAAAAAAAAAAAGGCTAATAAAGAAAGAGTCAAACAGGGATTTCACAGCAGAATTCAAGATAATGGGGAAGCCACTGAAGTGAAGTAACTCAGCTCTCCTTCAGAGACCCCTGAATGGATGAGATTTGGAATTCCAGCCTGAAAAGAGACAAAGGCTTTTACTTGAAAGCTTTATGTTGATACAAACGGAAAATTTTTTAACTTTGTTTGGTGAAGTTTTATTCAATGTCAAACAACAAGATTCATCTAGGTTAAGGAATTTTAAAACAAACAAACAAAAAATCCATTCTTAAAAATGAAAATGTCCATCACAGGGCAGGAACAAGAACATGCTGCCTCTTTCCAATGCACTGCTCTGCTACTCTTGTCACATAAAGCCCCTTCATTCTCACCTATCCACCCTGCCTGGCTGAGAACAGGGAGCCAAACTTCACCTTACTTGGTTGAGGAGTTTGTGGATCTTGTTTTTCAAGAAAATTACCAAGACAAATGAACTGAATCCATTTTCTGCATCTCTTCTCAGAGACAACCACTTTGTTAACAGAAAGTGGCCTTCCCAGTGAAAAGGACATTCAGTCACCACTCAGTGGGTGCCAGGAATAACTACAAAAGGGGACTGGAATAAAATTGCAGCCAGCAAGTGGGAGAAATTTTACAACTGCTCTGTGAGACAGGAGATGAACTGTACTGCAGGTCTAAGTCTAATGCCTCTCCACCACGTGAAGTTGCAACTGAGCTCTGTGTCTGAAACCGAAGAGAGTGAAGAGTCACCTGCAGCAAACACAGCAGATGTTTCAAGAACCTCTGTAGTTTCCTCATCCAATTTCATTGTAGTATCTTTGTTTTCTCCCTACCAACCACTCCATGCTGGATGTGTCTACCTTTTCTCACTTCACTGGCCATGGAAAGTGAAGGCTGACAGAGAGTAGAAGAAAATAACAAAGGAAATGACAACTGGACAAGTTTTCCAATTAACATCAGGTGCTAGATAGTCAGTTTAGTGTCCTTCAGGACACTTCCTTTGATAGTTACATAGTCATGCATGAAGCATTAACCTCTCCCTGTTCTAGTTTAACCAGCTGAAAACGGTTGGTTGAAAACCATAAAGTCCTCCCTGCAGTGCTGTTAAGCTTGTGGTGATGAATAATGATTTTTTCTGAAAGCCATGAATAACACTGTGAGGTGAGTGTAACACACTGTGTGAGTCTGTGCCATTCAGCTGTCTCCCTGGATATTTTCCATTTAGAAAAAAAGGGCATAACCCTAAAAGCAATATTTCTTACTAATCCCCACAATTAACTCCTCAGGAGGGTCTGGCTACTCCTGCCCATCTGGGCCAGTGGAGATGACCCATAACACTTGCTGTCTTGCATCCCCATATTCATGTGATCTCTTCCCTGGAGTAGATTTTACAGTGATGAAAAAAAATCCCATACATCCTCAGTTTGTTTGGATAAATTTCTGAATGCTTATGTATAAACCTAAATCATCTTTAGAGGACTGAAAAACCCCTTCCACTCTTCCAGGCTCGCTTTCCACTTACCGCCTGATCTGTCTTGCTTCTGTAAACCCTCTGCAGAGTGAACTTTGATTTGGGTGACTCTGCGTGGATAGCCACAAAGAAGATTCCAACATGTCATTTTAGGCTTATCTGCCTTCAGCTCCCTGAAAAATTGTGGGAAAAGCAACCAAAGAAGAAGAACATCAAGTAAACAATCAATTGTTGTGTCAGGGGTGTTGGAGGATGACCAGGCAACCACTTCCAAGGAGGTGCAGCCAGTGAGGGCTGGGAAAGCTCTCCTGGAGCTGTGGGTGCAGCCTACCTGAGTTTTGATGGCACGTCCGTGAAGAGCCTCAGGATAAACCTCGCGGTGATGCCCGGATGGAACGTGGTTGGGACAAGGACGTAGCGGCCTCGCTGAAGGATCCTCTTCAGGAAGACGGTGCGTGTGTTGATGTACGGAGACGTGGCCACTCTCTCCTGCACCGTGAGCTTGTGCAGCCGATAGCTCCTGTTATCCTCCACCTACAGCCACAGGGCAGGAGAGGGATTAATGGAAGGAGGGATAGCAGCGCTAACAGGTGGGATCCTCCCGGCACATCGCACAGCCTTTCACGGCTGGAAAACACAACGTGCAACAAAAGGCAAATCAGTCGGCAAATGTTTTTTCCACCCACTGAAGCTGTGGCAGAGACACAGCCCGATGGGCACCCCAGTGCCCAGGAGGAATTGAACTCTTTTGTTTGCCTTAAAACGTCGCTACTGCAGTGAGCTGTGAAAGCCTCCTGCCAGGGGATTGAAAATAAGGCTGAGGGGAGGAGGCCACAGCCCACGAACTTAGATTTGTGGAGGCCCTAGAGGCGAATCCCTGGGGTGTGATGTTTCTGTCCTGTGGTCCAGGCCATGCCAAAGGATGCCCTTTGTGCACACACCCACCACTACACAGAGAACCCCTCACTCGTAGCAGGGGTTCACACCTGGGGTACACACCCCAAAGCACCCCTCAAAAGCCTACATGACTATACAAAAACCAGCACCTCCAGTTTCTGAAAAACAGCATGACTGTGCAAAAAAACCAGCCTCCCACACATGGGGGAAGCACCAGGAAGGTTTCTGAGGGTATGGAAACCCGCTGGACTTCATCTTTCAAGGCTTCTCTCCCCCACCACTCCCTGACAGACCTCGACACCAGCGTCAAAAACCACCAAGTTTGCTGGAGACCTTTGGGGGTCTGAGACAGGCTGAGATTCCTCTGCCTCCCTTCTCTAGGATGGAGAGGGCACTCCAGCCTTTCATAGTAGGCTCTCAACCCAGGTGCACCTGTATTTTTGTTGCCCTTTTCTGAATACAAAACCCACAAAATAACCATTTGTGTTTTGTTCTAAGGCTTGAAGCTGTGCTTAACTATTAACATCCTCTTCAGGGGACTGCCACAGGACAGTTAAAATATAAGCCTATTTCTTAAGCAGCTCTTGAGAGCAAAGACAGCCCCACATTCTTTTTTTTTCTTTACATTCTCTTCCCAAGGCCTTTAGTTATGTTAATGAGCCTGATGGATTAGAACATTTCTGAAATAGAAAAATTATTGAACAGAAGTAAAGATAGATATTTTTCTGAAGGTGTGATTTTCTTTTCCAAGCCTTTCCAAATTAGATATTGCAGGCCTGAGCAAGGCAAGGTAAATTATGCCACTTTCTGTGATGACACTTTTCAATATACGTGCTTAACAGGTGATTTGAAAATGAATAGGTGTGATGCAGATGTCAGCTGCTCTAACTGACTGTTAAAAATTGACGGTTTTTTACAGTAGAGCCACAGACTTAGTGTAGACCCACTAACTGCAGCAGCAGGTGATAGGATTATTCAAATCCTCAGTAAAAAAAAAAAAAAATCAGAAACATAGCTGTTTCTTTGCTTCCTTCCCTCTCAAGTTCAGGTATTTTCATTTTAATCAATTTGCTCTGAGATTGCAATTAAATTACTGTTTGGGATCCCTGTGGTTCCTTTTCCCATATATATTGATTTCCTACTCACTACTCCAGCTTTTGAAAACATTCTTTTTTCTAAGTGGCAGCAGGAAAATGGCAGTCTTGTCAACCTTATTCACTTAGCTGTGTTTGCTGGTGAAATGGAGGCAGAGGCCTCCAGTGAGAAGGAGAAAAAAACCTCCTCCATGTTTCAAACATTAATACAAAGACAAATCTTTCTCTTGAAAGATTGGGGTAGGAAAAGCACTTAAAATTCTTTTACAGAAGGGAAAGATCACCTGTGTTCCTTTAGTTCAAAGAGAGTTTGAATTGAGCCCTGTTCCAACAGTCTGTGTGATGTCAGCTCTGCTGACTGAGTGCAGCGCCCATGCAGAGCTCGTGTTGAGTGGAGAGCCAGACACCAAGAGAATTGTGGCTCTATCATAAAGAGCTCCTGGCCAGGGTGAAGCTGGGCTGAACAAACTCTGCACCAGGAGTGCAGGTGGCTGCCTACCTTGAATATTTCAAAGCCAATTGGGATGCTGTCTCCTTTCCCTTCTTTCTTGTATTTGCGGCGATCCTCCTGTTGTAACGAGACCAACACTTTGTCCTCGGTCTTCTTGACATCAAAGATGTACTGGGAGAAGAGAGAAGAGGGTGAGCTGCTAAAAGTGCCTCAGGATACTGAGAATAAAGCCATTACCAAGGAAATATGTGTATCTAGTGAGGCAAATAGAAATATATTTGGGAATGGGAGGAGAGTTCTTCATATAGCAGGTATTCCCAGCTGAAAAGTAATGCTAATAATGAGGATCTTTAAACCAAAAGTATCAAAGACACTGAAAATGTAATCCTAGTGTTAGGACAAGGGGGAATATGCAACAGCACCTAGAAAGGCACATTTTAATTCTTGTCCCTGTTGAACCATATGCAGTGTTACCTGATCAGGTAGCCCAGAGTGTTCCAGGGCAAATGGAGGTGTAGGAGGGGAACAAGAGGAACCAAGAGAGCTCTCTTGGTCTGATGAGAGCTCTGCAACTGTGACCTTCTTCTGAGGACATTTCAGCTGTCCTAATGGGTAGTGATCTAAAAGCCAGCAGGTATCTGTAGGAATACACTTACATTGGGCTTAAGTTCCCTTTTCAAAAGGGACTGGAAGTGTCACAGTCCTTTCCTGTACAGGTAAATTCCACAGGAGGCCTCAGTGTCAGGCATTTCACTCAGGGAGGACAGACAAATTATCTCTAGATTATGGTGGGGTGTGCCACAGTAAATTAAAATGGCAGATAATACAATTGTGTTCCAGCATTGCTATGAAAAACCTTTTAATCAACCAGCCCAGAGATAACACCAGAATACAAAGAACTTCCATTGCACTGCATTGATGTGTATATTTTGCTTTCTGTGGCAGCTAAACACCTACAAATGAGACTCAGACAAGCCCTTGGAATACATCCAGAGTCATAGAGGGGAACACCTCAGGGAATGAGGCACTGACAGAAGATAGAGCAGTTAAGAACTGCTTCTGCATCTACACCTGCATGGCAGGATGAGCTGGGAGTCTGAGATTCACTCCTGATCTGAACAGCAGAGGCTGCACTTCCCCAGTATCCTGCTATGAAAACAGAGGGGTGCCAGGCAGAAACCTCCCTTGAAAGTGCAGAGAAGCAGATACGAAAACATCTTTAATTAATCTAGACAGAAAGGTCAGTTTTCAAAGTAGTAACTAACACAGCTCTCATTGACAGTAGTGGAAGTTTTATGCCTGAATTTGCATGTGCTGGGACTAAAACACACCACATGGAGAAGGGCAGGAAGGTGAGAAATGGAGTTGGAATGAATGAAAACATAAACTGAATAGCTTGAAATTACCAGGTAGGATGAGACAAGGAAAATTCTGTAATGCTGATGAGAGGGTGAGCTTGGGTAAGAGACCATATCCTTTCAGGATCTTAGATTAATGCCAAGGAATACTAACTAAATACAGTAGATCAAATCCTCAGGCTGTTTAAGGGTGTTAAGTGAATGAAGCTGTGTCACTGGAAAATCAGACTTGTTGCCTTTCTACAGCTGGGAAACTAAAAGAAGTCCAGGAAGGATGTCAGCAATCCTGGTATGTTTGACTCATCAGCCCCAAACATGATCAGTCCCAAACAAATATCTCAACTCTACTGAGAGATTTCACAGAAATCACTGAAACACAGCACACTCCCAGGGGACAGACACTGGCAATCAGGTTTTTTGTCAAGTACTCACTGCCAGCTCCCTAAATAGGGTGGATACTTCAGAACCCTCAGCTCAAGTGAATACCCTTCAATGCCTCACAAAATACAAGGGTTCCCACCTGGGGATTCTGAAGGAAGGTCTCTCTGTTATCGAAGCAGCCACCAGAGCGATTTAGCAGGGGCTCTGAATTTTTTGTCCAAGCCCCATGCATCATTTTCTTCTCCCAGGTCTTGTGGATGCTGAAGTAGGAGGTATTCACAATCCTGCAGATGTCCACGTCTGTGAAATTCTTACACCAGTCCTCAAATGTCATCCTGTTCCATGGGACACCAGGAAAGTAGTGGCTTATTTAAAAATAAACAGTGGTACTCTTGCAATGAGCCAATAACACACTAAATCTTCCAGTAATTTAAAAGGAGGAATAGCTCAGCTGTCCAGAGGACAAACTGATTCACTGCAACGCTCTGCATGTGGACATACTTGTGAAGCCACAGTCACACCGTCTGAGAGCTTAATTCAGAGAAATATCACTTAGTGTGTTTGGTCAGGTCTGGATCTGTTCTGTTGCATCTCCTAAGCATAGAGGACAGGTTGTATCTGCCAAGCTGGATTTGGTAACACGTATTTTGCAAAGGCAAAAGAGATCGCCTGCAATCAAAGCATGATCCGCTCCTCATTATTACAGTCCTTATTGTCACATCTGTCCCTGAGCACAACTCAAATCTCTGTGCTTTGGACACAGCTTTTATGTAGCACCAGCTCACTGCTGCAGCCCGTGCCTGCTGAAGCAACAAACTGGATTGCAGAGCAGCTAAAAAACATTCACCTCCCCCAGCAGCTTGGGAGCTCTGAACTACCATCATGCCTTGGCTTATTAATGGCCCAGAACCAAACTCTGAGGTTGCCAGTTCTGCCAAAGCCAGCAGAAGGCTTTTCATACTGAGCACTGCCAGCACACTTGATGCAATATTGACAATCTACTGAAGAAGTTGCTGGACTAAGTATCTAGGGTTTAAGAGAAATGAAAATTAATAGAGTTCTAGAGATTCTGTAGATAATCAACACTCCTCGTGTCCACGCTGGAAAACACCAACAAATATCAAAATTCATTGACTGTAATTCTATTTATAGATCACTCAGCCGTGGTTGACCTAGAAATCCTGTAGAGAGGAACAGCAGTCAGTTAACAGGTTTGACTGTGTGTTCAGTACCTGGAATTTTGTCATGTAAACCAGCATATAAGTTGTCTGGATTCTGAGTGAATGTCCTAAATATAAGTAATAGATTAAGGGTATTTGAAGCTTATATTTACTAAAAGCTACTAATTTTTTTTCTACTCATTTTAAATCTGCTTTTTCTATTCTTCTCTGACATCCCTTGAGACTTTAAAAGAAACAGAGCTTGTGCCAGGACTGGATAATCTTATCCATTTGGGAAAATCGATTTTGAAGCTATTAAATGGCAGATTTATTACTCACTATAGCTAGTGTCTCTGAACCCTTCACATCTCTGCTACTCACCAGAACTCTCCATCATTCTCTAGAACAAGCCCTAAGCTCTTGCGCTCTGAATCGCTGACTTTCTTCCACTCCTCAGAACTAAAAGGAAAAAGAAAAAAAAAAAGAAGTAAAAAAACAAGAACAACAAAAAGAGAACAACAAACATGATTAATAAATTAAATGCTCTCACTTGGAAAGAAAAATAGAAGTAAAAATCTCTCACGGCCCCTTGTTTTGAAAGTAACGTCGAAGTACTGAAAAGGCAGACGATGCTCAGGAAGAAAATGTGAGGCTTGCAGGGGGAGTTTTAAACCATTAATTGATTTGAAAGCTACTAAAAGAGGAAGAGATTAATGGGAAATTGGCACAACTAGAGCAGAACCTTATTGATTTCCTTTGTCACACCCTCCATTAGAGTGCTTAAACACTTAAACAGCTGGTTTGGAAGGTCATAGGAGATTGACTCCATTCCCTGAAGGCCCTTCAGATGAAACCTGGCTCTCCTCCTCAGGAGGTTATTGGATGCTTCACTTACACCAGTGTATTCTCTTTGCCTTTTAATCACCTTAATAAACAGGCCTGGGATTTCCCTGGAGAGCTTTTGAGAAGAAACTGCTGGAGCATGAGCCTAGTGTCCAGTTTCCAGAGGAACACTGCACTGCACAGACATTTCATTGCCTGCATGAGCTCAGTGCTCTGCCTTGGCTCCTGCAGGCCCCTGCCTCTTCCCACTGACTGCAGGGGAGCACAGACCCAAAATGCATCTGCAAGCCAACAACAGGCAGTGTGAGCCCCTTCCCTGACGTGTTGCATTAGACAAACAGAGCCACAATTCCTCAATCCCTTTCCAAAAGGAGGCTAAAGCTGAAGGTGGTTGGCAGGAGGGAAGAGAAGCTGCTTACTATAACAGGCATTTTCTTAAAACCTATTTGGAAATTGCCAATTTAATTCTGTGAGGCCAAAAGCCGTGGGCCAACCTCAGAGTCCTCAGTGCTTCCACTGGCATGAGTGGCACCTGTGCCAAGACACACAGGCCAGTGGAGAAGCCCAAGGGTTTAAGATAAAAAAGACACAGTAGCTCTTCTGTGCATTCTTTGCACTTCGGCTGGACCAATCTCTTTGAAAGTAACAGATTTTTGCTAGCTAAAGTATAGGGTGTAAGAGATTAATATGAACTGTAACATGTTTTTCCATGTATAAATCACCTGTGGTGGAATATATCCCCTGCATGAAAATTCGTTAGAAAATAATTCAAGAAATTACAAATGTAGCAATTTTACAGCATTCTTCACCACTCACTTAAATTATCTAAGAATAAAAGACTTATGACATTTCCAGCAGCTGGCAATTACAGACAAGAAACTGAGTCAAGACAAACCCAGTGGTGAAGCTGGGAAGAAGCCTCGTGTTCTTGACTCATCTCCTTAATTGTGGGCTATTTTTCAGCCCATGTGCCAGTGTGCCAGAACAACGATGTATACAGCAAACTAAGGTCCAGGGAGCTGTAAGCTCCTCCAGCATGTGCTCATTTTCTCAGGGAATGCTCTGCCTGGGAGGAGATGGCACAGAGGTTCAGCTGTCGCTGAGGATGGCTGTGTCTGAACAGTGTTTAACCACATTTCTTGTGTCCAGTGGCCCCAGTACAGTTTCATTCCTTTGGCACTGGATTTGCAGCACTTACTTGTCGCTCCAAGCACCGTTCCATTCTCTTTTCCCCCAGGGATTCCTCAGCCTGATCATGAACATCTTCTCTGCCTTAAAAGAGAACACGAGCCTTTCTCCGAGGCGCAGCTTCCGAATCGCGGTCACCGAGTACGCGTGGCCAACAACGAGCCCCATCTCTGTCTCCGCCTCACTGGCACGGCCAGAGGACACCTTGAGCACCAAGAATGACAATTAAAAAGTAGAACTGACATCACTGAGGGCTTTGACAGCTACGAGTTCATGGGACAAGACAAGGAAGGTTTGTTTTCTGTTCCCTTCCCAAGTGATTTGACTGTCCAGGAAAACAACAGCACTGGGGCTCATAACTCATGGCTCGCTGGCCTGGTGTTCTGCAGGATACTGCTGGACAATTCCTAGCAGGCAGAAGCCCAGAGCTTAGGGGAATCCTCCCTGCTAGAGCCATTTTGTCTCTTCCTGGCCTCAAGAGTTAAAGACTTCCAAAATCTCATAATCTTTACAAAGTTACTCTTCTGGATACTGGTGACTCTGCTCAGACTGTCTGGTGGTATCCTCAGCTGGACATCCCATAGGGCCCAAGAACTGAGCTCATGAGTCCAGTGGCTGTTTCTGTGTTGGAGTTAATTTGATATCCCAGACGAACTACTGCTGCTGGATAAAAATAGAGGTCATGGGCAATAAACCTTTCTATCCATTTGTCAAACCTGTCCTGTACCTCTCTTACTTGGCAACAGGCAGATCTGCAGGTTTATTTAGGAGCTGGGTTTGCTCCTCATAAACTTCATGTAAGCAGCCTAGTTTCCAGCAGTGATCAGGCACTAAACTGTCCTGCTGGATGACCTGGGCCTGACCAAAAGCTGATCTAAGAATGCATAAAAATTGTCAAGTTCTGAAAAATACGACAATTTCATTTAATGAATCCAAAACTGCTAATCTAAACCCAGAAAAGCAGTGTCATATAAAGGTGCTGGAGTTGCTTTGAAGGACTGGCCCTTCACAAAGCCAGCACAATGCTGCTTCTGAGCAACACAGACCAGGCAGGATAGTGGAGAAAATAAAGCTGTGTCAGTGTTACAACCCTTCTTCTGAACCAGGAAGGGTCCAAATGGTCCAGCCTCTGGCTTCTTCACACCCTCACTGGAGCCACCATGGGCATCCTTGCACTAAACCACAGCTAGAGATTCTCTCATCTGTATGGGACTATAACCCATTGGGCCTGAAGACACTCACTCCCTTGGACAGCAAGGAAGGAAGATTTGACTCAGTGCAGATCCTTGTGTGTAAACTTGTAATAACCTAATTAATGATCAATCAAGCCTTTGCCGTGACAAAGAGAGCAAGAGTTATGGACTCTTGGTGCTATTAATGTAAATATTTAAATATAAAGATATTATTTATTGTTTATCGTTATACAGGAATAATTATTATAAATATATAAATATTTCTCTATAAACAAGGACTTATCAGAGTTATGGGATGCACATGGTACTTTCTCAGACATTTTTACCCATTTTAAAATTTAACTGGTCTAAACAGACAGGGTCCTTCTCCTAAGGCAAGAGTTGCACTGACACAAGAGTGTTCAGCCCCTAAAGGTAAGAAATAAAAAGAAAAAAAAAGGGGGGGAATGAGAAATTTATATCAAATTGGATCTGACAGATGGTCCTGCAACTGTGAGAGTCTCACCAAGCCCTCTTTGCCTTTCACCAACAACAGCTCCTAAAGAATCAGCTCATGTGTTACATGGAGACTGGCTGACATTTCCAGTGGGTTTGGGCTTGCTCCAGAGTAACACTTTCACTTGCATTTTTCACAACTAAAAGCAAACATAGAGTCCTTGACAGCATGGGAGTCTGTAACTTCTCCTGCTGCCTTTATTACCCCCTAGGCTTTTCCTACTGCTGGGCTGCCTTTCACACCTCATTCCAAAGGCATTTATTTATTTATTTATTTATTTATTTATTTAATGAGCTATTTAAACATCCAGTGTCTGTTCAAATTTCTAAATGGTGATGCTCAGGGCTGTTTTGTGAGCCAAGGAAAACGGTGACATGTTTGTAAGGCAGCAATGAAGCCACTTGAGTATTAAATATTCTACACCTAGCAAGCCTCACTGTGTGTATAATACATCAAAAAGTGACAAATGCAGACAAACACAGGAATGGCCTCTCTGTAATCAATGTTTAGAAGCATTTGTGTTTAATTTGACAGACAGACATAATGCCAGGAAGAAGTGAAAGTGTTACAACTGCCTAATTAATTGCTTTTAAAAATACAACTCCCTGTACTTAGCCTATGTCCTCACCAGATCCACATTAGGAAACAGAACTGCCTTAGCATTTGGGAGCAACCTATTGTTCCATTAGCAATGTTTACAACAACAATTCACACCGGGATAGTCTGCTCTGCCAGGCTGGTCTGAGCAAATCGAATGGAAGTCTTTCAAATAAAAATTCAGACCTTATGAAAAAGGTAAAACAAAAGCCAAAGACCTTGAAGATTTTGTTCAAACTAATCTCCCAGGAGGAGCCACGTGTTCTTCTTTGGTACCTTGGCACTGGTACAGGGCAGAGCACAGCCAGGGACAGCCAAATGTGCTCAAGCATCTCCAAACACGGTTAATTTTCTGTTGTTCTAGACAATTCCATGACTACCACGGTACTCACAAGACTTTCTGAATTCATCAACACTTTGGGATTCACCACTTCACCATGGATTTAGTGCTCATGCCACACTATTGCTGCAGCACTTTACTAATGTTAAGCAATTAATACTAGTGAAGTACTACAACAATATGACCTTCATTTCACAGATGTGGAAACTACAGCAAAGTGTTTAAGTGATTTAACCAAGTCCACAAAAGATCAGCCTTAGCTAAAGTCTTAAACTGGAAGCAGGGGGTAAGGGGAGAAGATGCTAAGTGCACCTAAATGCCAACCCTGCAGCTCCTAGAGAATGATCTCTTTCCTGCAGGCTGTACTTTAAAAATTTAAAAGGCAACCTTTCAGGAAACATTCAGGCAGCTTGTTAGCCCTCCACGTGTGGTAACAGCTTCGGGCAAGGTGAGAATTTCAGCACTACCCAGTCATAGCCTGACACTGCAGACTTAGACAGGAGAGGAGTTAAGCCCAGTTGTCGCTGATTTCCCTCCTACAGCAAGAGGCAGTGCAGGGCCCTTGTCTGCCTGTGGTTTGTGAAGTATATAAAACCCTTTGGGAGCTGCTATCCCAGAATCCATCCCCTCTCTGCTAAGGAAGCTTCAGGATCGTGGCCTCCTTATGTAGGCACCCAAGTTACCTACCTCACATGAGCCAGGGTAGGCAAGTTTTGCTGGTTAATTCTAATGGGGAGGTTATTAGCAAACAGTAGTGCCTGAATAACCAGGTGAGCTCAGCCTTTCAGCTCAGCCCCAGCGTGTTACACTGGCTGCACCATCACAACTGAGGTCAAGGAGCCTCAGCAGCTCAGTGTCAGCAGAACTGCTTTCTCTAAACAGATTCCCCTAAGGAATAAAGAAAGTGAACGCTGCCATCTGGCCTGCAAATTAGGGCATTCTAGGTGGATTAACCTCGGGTCAGTACACAACTGTGACCATTGAGAAAGAGCAACATTTCAGACCCACAGCAGAGTGGCAGCACAAGCAGCTTTGCAGTTTTGTGATTGTATTTAGTGGCTCCCGGAGCTGTAGTGGGCTGGCAGCACTGCCAGCTTGGTAGATTTCTCCATATAAAGCTTTTAAAAACATGCAAATGAAGGACATACTTAATACACTAATAATGGTGTTTATTCCAGAAGATTTTAGTTGAAATTAACTCCTAAAAGCCAGCTCTCTGCACATACCGCAATGGAGCAGCTGATCAACCCGCCTCTTCTATGCACTTTCATCAAGTCTTCAAACAGCTTCATCTGCTCAGAAATAATCTCTCCATATTTGCCCTGTACCAAGTCAATAGATTCTGCCACTGCTCCAGTGAAATCCACAATGGCATCTGCAGCACTGCCTCCATCAAGGGCTTCATAGGATCCAGCCAACCTGGAGGCAACACAGAACATTCTCAGATACCAAGGGGCTGTTACCAGTGCTCTAACTGAATGTAGGTAACATATTTGGGTCCCACCAAGTCAAAACCAAAATAGAACAAGAAAACCCCAGCAGGTAGACTGCAGGTAGACCTTTCCTGGTTGCTAGGATCCCTAAGGCTCTGGGTTTCTCAAGTTGACTGCATTGCACTCCCTTATGATTCACCCCCTCCATGCAGATTAAAGGAGTTTTCAGACCTTTTTAGGTTCTCTACTAGCAGCAAACTTAAAACCCTAGGGAAAGTCTGATAGAACTGAAAGACAAAACAAACAGCTGGATAGAAGGGACAACACTGAGGATTACAAGGACAATGAACCAGCTCATACTTTGCATAGGCTTTCTCCAGCAGTGCGCTCCAGAACTCATTTTTCACATTAGAATGGCAGTAGATCAACCTCCCATCCACTGTTGGCAGCAGATCATCAACAACCACCTCTGTCCATTCTCCGAAGCACCAGAAGCGGAAACGGAAAATCCCAGCGTATTTCTCTGGGTTTTTAGGGTCCCATTCTTGTTCGCTGAAGTCTGGAATCACCTGAGAAACCATGGAAGGGAGAGTTCATTAAGTGCACTCTGTAAAGGTTTATTCTCAGGGCAGACTGCCCTGAAGCATGCACTCTGCTGGCATTCAGCTTCACGAGCAGTTGACTGTAAATAAATGAAGCTGTGAAAAAAGAGGGTGAATTAGGGGTACAAAGTCCAAATGCAGTCCTACTTGAAGGAATCTTTTAGGAAAGCAAAATTCATACTGATCTGCAGAGAGAGATAAAAAGAACCCCTTGCACTCTCTAGCTTTGTTATATCTGTTCTTTGGTGCTCAATGGGACTGAGGAGTGAGGAGGTCTCATAATATGAGAAATGACCTTTTAAAGGAAGGGAAGATTTGAATCTACCAGAATTCACTACTTGTTAGTCCTAGAGAGAAAAACATTAGCTGATAAGCAGGGAAACAGCCAAGGTTTATTAGCTTTATTTCATGCACCTTGCACACCTGTTACCTACCTGCTGCCAGAGGCATTTCCTCAGAGCCAGGCAGGAACAGGCAGCCACAAACCAGCAGTTCCCCAGGGTGCCCTGGTGTAAGTCATGGGAGCTGATTCCATTCACAAACAGATGGGGGTCTTCACAGAGGTCCTGACAGAACAAACCAGAGATTAGTGGACACTCCACTCCAGAAATTATCACAGTGTCTTTTTCATCAAGAAAAGCATCAGGGAATGATGTTACTGACACCTGGAGCCCTTTCTTCACTGCCATGCCCTTGGCTGACATACTGGAAACCCTCCTTCAGCAACAGCCTGAGTTACTGCAATGACCCCAAGCACACAGCAGCTAAGGAGGGGAGCAGCAGAAGAAGGAGCTGTGCTCCTTACCTCATGGATTCTCACTGCCCTTTGGTAATAATAGATGATGATCCCAAAATACCGAGACTGCAATCAAAGCCTGGCTGTAGAGCACAGGCATGTGAAGACCTCTCAGTCTTCCCTCTGATGTGGCTGTGACAAATCAGGACCACATGAGCTTATTTTCAGAGTAAAGAACCACCTCAGTGCTGGGCTGGATGCTGGTTTTCCTGGGCTGGTTTAGCCAACGGCACGTGGAGTTAACTCATGGCATGGAATCCATGGAGCTGCTGCCATTTTCTTTAAGAAAATTGTATTTTTAGCATGAGGCTTTTCTCATTAAATGATGGTTGAAATTCTAAATGCCTTTTGGGAAACAAGTAACTGATCATTACAAGACACCGTTACCCTGTCAGTATTTCTTACACGTGTCTCCACTTAGAGACATTTCGAAAGCTTATTGACAGACCTTAATAAAAATCTGAATTAAAAAATGGTGCCCACGAGGAAAATTGACCGTGCTCATCAGCATCTTGGACAGATCCATTCAGTCCCCCTGGATGGTCTGATGTGGAATAGCAACAGGACCTTCAGGCTGACACTTCAGCTGATGTGAATCGACCCAGTTGCCTGTTGCAGGGGCTGACATCAGTTGACTGCTTGGCCTTCACAGTGGTAGCACACATTCCACGTGACCTGGGGTAGGCTCAAGTTTCGTATCCCATTCCCAGGCAACTCTGGCATTAATAATTTCCAGTTTGTTTTTCCTTTCTAAATGTTATTTTGTCAGAATAATAAACAAGCGATAAACGGAGCCGGGAGGGTTGATATTGTCCGAACTTTTTTGTCACTAGAGGAAGCCAAAACTTTAATTGGTTTTGAAAGAAATTAGGCACTGCTGTGTACTACAATTATCTTCTCTTCCTTTTTTTTTTCTTCTAAAAATAACCACATTAAACTGTCATTTTTCAGTTGAAGTGTGTCTCACATCTCACACAGTCCTCAGAGGAAAAACAGAGCAGCATGTGCCAACTGCCAAAACTTATGGATGAGATTAGCCTTTGCTCACTACTGGGGTCCAAAGCAAACATGGAACAGCAGAACTCAGAAACAGCACCTCCTTATTTCCATCAGAGTCACCAAATTCTTCAGAATCCTGCTTGATAAACCTTATTAAACTGCTTAAGAGACCTGCACTCCTGGGACTAAAGAACAGCATAAGAAAATTACATCAGTTCTGTTCCTTTTGTCGTTAATTACAGCCATTATAACAGCTTCTATGATGACTGTCACTGTGTGGCTCAGATGAGACACACAATAACACTCAGGCACGAGCTAGAGCTAATTTCAGCTGTTTGCTGTCTTCTGGGCTTTTTGATTTTCACCACTTGTGCAACACAGCAAATTCTAAGGAATACTTTTAGCTATCTAAGCCGCAATTCCCCCAGCACAACTGGAAATGTGCCATTTCAATATATTATTCTGCAGACTTTGTGAGGATCTTTCAGCATTTTGGGTTGCCCCAAGCATGTAAAAAAGAAAAATTATTAATTAAAACAAAAAATCCTTTTTCCAGTAATGCTCCCAGCAGTGATAATTCAGAGTTGTTGAGGACCAAGCCAATCACTATCAGAGGAATTACAAGGAAGAGAAGCTGATGTGAGATGTGGCTCAAGCACTTCAGGAGACCTGAGGCCTTCTCTTTCTTGCTACCTAAGCACCAAAACACTTGGACTCTGGGTTCCACCAGAAGTACATCTTTTGCAAACATAGCAGTTTAACCCTAATCCCTTTTCTCAGGATCAACGTGTGACATCTGTGCGGTAAAAAAGAGAAATATCTTCGCATTTCCAAAAAAAAAGTTTAAAGGTAGTTACTAGATCTTATTGGACATCATTAATGTCTAACAGGCACACTATTTCTAATACAGCACTGATAATAAAAGCAGTTGTTGTATTATTTATGCCTGCAGGGACCATTCCACCATGCAAGATGCCGAGCTCTTCCCGGTTCTCCCCTTGCGTGTGTGCACAATAAAATAAACACCATCTGCAGAACTATAATTGGGCTGCACAGAGTCTGAAAGTGAGGTAAGAACTTGCAGGGCCTCATGGTCCTGTTGAAAACCCTGACACTCTGATTTTCATACCAGGTTTCCTTTTGTATCTCAGAAGTCTATTTGTGTCACTTCCCATCCTTGCTGTCCTGCGGAGGCTTGAAACGTCTGACATTCACTGCCATTCAGCCACAGATGCTGTGAGGAATACAGGGGCTCCCAAAACCCCTTTTTTATGATTTTAAATGGTTCATCTCTTTGTAAAGGAGTAAGTAAATGAACAGGCTGGGAGAACACTGAGCAGCCTGGAGATGAGAACTCAGGGTGGGATCCCAGGAAATAGGAGTGGAAGAGACAGTGAACACATCAATCAGTCCCAGCAAGTGCCCAAATTGGCTATCCCTGACCTACTTGTGACTGAAGCCTCTCTAACCTGTATTTCACACAACCCACAAGGAAAACCCACACATTCCTCCACCAGTCAGCAGAGAAGTGCATGGCTGAGCTGCTCCATGAGCCCTCTGTGAATGGAGAGCTCAGTTACCTTTCCTTTCTACAGCAACTCCTCAGATAAGCTGCAAACCTATAACAAGTCTCTTCTCTCTAGTCCTAATAACTGGTTCTTCCCGTTTGGTGTCACTGGTGGCACGTGGTGCCCAAATCCAGGCCCTGTGCTCCAGGCAAGGCTATGGCTGTGCTAAACAGAGCTCGATGTTCTTGCTTACTGAAGCTGGGGGAGGCATTTTTCTCTTTTTCTCTTGAAGTCACATATTTAACTTTTGTCCAGACTGTGATCCACCCTCTGATCCTGTTCTGTAAACTTACTGCCTATTCATTCTTTCTCCCTAAGTGAGCCATGAAGTCACTTAATACCAAAGCACTGCACTTGGGTGCATTGATGAAGTGATGCTGAATTTTGCCCTATCTATTGCATATTATTTTCCCAAGCTAAGTTTGAATTCTCAGTCCTGTCAAGTGGCTTGCAATCCTATCCCAGTCTGTCTTGCAGCATTCCCATACACACCTATCTAGCCCCTCAGGCAAGTAATAATGAAAATACTAAGGAGTACCAGATTAAGGGAGATTCCTGTAGGACTCCATTGACACAAGGCCAGTTTGAAAGTACTCCAAGTCATTTATTTCACCACTACAAAAGTTTGAATTAATCCAAACATTCATACTTTGGAGAAATGTATCAGAAACTGGCAAAGTTTTAGGAAAATCAAACTGTATCACATCTGCTGCTCTCTATCTATACTATAAGATCTGTCCCACTGTAGGCTGGAAGGAAATCAAGGTGGTTCATATCAGGGTATCTGACACAATACAGTCTGATAAATTGCAGTCAGGAATTTCACTGAGATACTAAAATGTTTGGACTGCAGCACAAATATGGAAAATGACAACTTTTTGCTACAATATGCCTCCCCAAAGGAAATTGCAGAACATCGTGAACCATGCAAGATAACAAACACCCCTGTCGCAGGAGCTATGAAATGGTTTGTGTGTTGCTCTGTCATGATTCCTTAAGAGGAAAAATAAATTAATTAATAAATAAATAAAAAGGAAAAGGAAAATTAACAGGAAAATAAACAGAAAAAAGGGAAAAGGAAAAGAAAAAAAAAAGGGAAAAAAAGAGAAAAGAGAAAAAGAAAAAAAATGTCAGTGCTGTGACACCGTGTAACACAATATAACACCATGTAACACAAAAGGCAGGTTTAGCCCTCAGGTTTCTTTCTGTACACCCTGAGCTCAGAAGTGGAATTCCTCTGCAAAGTTTATGCCTATCGTCCAGCAACACCCATTCCCGAGAGAGAGATAATGCCAAAAAGTGCTTAAAAAGAAGTGGAGCTGTACACATACATGAGGAACAGTATGCCAGTGTGTTCCAGTCTTATATAAAAGAAAACCCAGCTATTTGGGGATTGAGAAATGCTTCTTCCCCCTCCTCCCTCTGCAGTAAATCCCATTACAAAGCCAAATGCATCGCAGATTTTTTTTATAGTGCTCTTTTTTTTCTTCCCATTTTCAGCTTGGGGCGAGTGGTGACTAATACTCAGCGAAGGCCGTGGCTTTCAGCCTTGCCCTGCCTATGCCTATGTATCTGGGGAGGATCTAAATCAATGTTTTGGAAGAAAAACTCCCAAACATTGGGCAACATGGTGTGTATCTTGGCTGCCTCCAGGCTTCACCTGACCCTTGGAGCGCTGCCGCTCACTCCCGTCCAGAATGCTGACGGGGGCTGGAAGGGGTTCAGATGATGTGCCGTGGGGCTGACCTTTCCCTGAACCTCATAACAAAGTGTTCACTGAAGCCCTGCCCTGAGTCCTCTGTCACCACATCGCAGGAATCACTCAAGACTCCAATGAAAGATTTTCTGTTCTCCCAGAACCCTCAAACAAGAACATCAAGTCTCTTCTTCCATCTCTTGCCACACCATTTCAGTTTGTGATGCTTTAAATCAACGTTCTACAGAACTGAAGCACCTCCATAACACTTTTAGAGGAGAGCTGCCTTGGGTTCTTTTTCTGCCTGAACTTATGAGACATCAGCCTTTGTCTCCTGCCTCCCTCCCCTCGTACCTATTCCTTTCTCTAAACTCAGTACCACAGTTTGTGTGACTTTTCCTCATGAGCAGCACCCAGAGATGCCATTCTTAGGGCAGGATTCACCTCAGGCAGCAGCTGTGTCCTCTCAGCAAAGTGTCTGAACTCCCCAGAATCAGAACACGAGAG